CGACCTAAACACCTTTTAAAAGTGTAATTTATTAATCAAAATTGACGAAGTACAGCAGTTTTTGAGTTTGCATGACTAGAAAAATCACAAGCAAATGCTTCATTGTGGAAAACGTATATTTTAAAATTTTTCTATTTTTAAACTATCGGGACGAATATCGAAGAAGATATATCGTGTCTATATATGATGAAAATAAGGTATTCCGATGGCGTTCATAGTATTCACAGGGGTTCGTTACCCTTCTTCTCCTCGTCTACACGTTTTAATAACATCCCACAATTCTCGCTATTTATTCTTTTTTCCGGATTTGATTGGCGCAATGGAATTATTCTTCTTTCATTCGAAGAAGCAAATACGATGCGCATGCGCCCAAGCGTGTCGAGGAATGTTTTGCACTGTTCTGCGCAGGTAAGATAGAAACGGGGTACGTACATAGTCCCGTCTTTGTCTTATCTATCAGAACGCAAAAAAAAAAGAAAGAAACAGCTGAGATGGTCTGGCGCATGCGCACAAATTAATTCATTTAGAAATATAGAGATTACCTAAAAACGTTATAATTGTCGTTGGAATCATTTAATAAGCGATGGATGAAGCAAATTACCTCCGCTGAGATTATCATAACAAATTACAAATTACTATTAAAACATATATAAATAAATAAATAAATAAATAAATAATAATAATAATAATAAATAACAAGTGCAAATAAAAACAAAGAAAGAAAATTAGTTAATAATGTAATTTAAGTACATGGCAAATACTATCGCACACTTCTAAGATTTCAGATCTTTCGTCTATTTAGGGTAGAAGGGTGAATAGGCAATAGGCAATAGACGCATACATACATATATGCGCGCGAACTTGTTTGTTTTTGACGTTTACTCGTGAGAAATGAAATTGAAGTCAAAAAAAAAAAAAAAAAAAAATTAATAAAAACAGGATGAGATGAAAGCGTAATATAAATGGAGAAGAGCATTATGGAATGCGAAACGGAGAAAAAACGGTAAACAGAACAATTGAAAAAAAAACCACCGTGTGTTTCCACGAGATCGAGGGAGCGAATAGCAACTGTAGGAAAAATAGGAAAAAAGCGATTCTATGTAGGTACCTGCGAGAGAGTGTGTCGAGACATTGCGAGAAACAGAGGGAGAGAGAGAGAAAGAGAGAGAGAGAGAGAGAATGAGAGAGAAATCAACAGAGTGAGAGCTAGTGGGGGTGATGGAGGCGGCGGTGGGAGACGGGAGGCAGAAAGAGAGAGAGAGAGAGAAAGGCGAGGTGTACCCGGGCTCTGAAGTAAGAGGCACGCACGCATGCACACATACTCGAGCGCAGGCACACGCATGCCCATTAAACATACATCGAACGCGCGCGCACGCGCAGCGTAGCGCTGTCCAGACCATTACTGGTGGTCAGTATTCGCGCGCGGTCCCTCGCTTCTATCGTCGTCGTCGTCGTCGTCGTCGCCGTCGTCGTCGTCGTTGCCGTCGCCGTCGTCGTCGTCGTCGTCGTCGTCGTCGTCGTCGTCGTCGTCGTCGTCGGCCTTATCGTTATTTTTCTATCGTGTACACAGCGGGTCAGAAGCGCAGGAGACGGAAATCCGCAGTCGCGTGCCTCATCATTAGCCCGTTCTTCGACGACCTTCGAGGAACCCACGACGAATAATAGTTGCGCATATCTCGCTAAGGTCTTGTCTGCTGACAGCTCGACGCGTGCACCAGGAGCTATACTCGGCCGCCGTGCCTACGACGATGAGCCTAAGCGCGCACGCGCACCCACACACGGGCGCGTGCACTCGTAAGTGTGGGCGCGCAGGGGAGTAAAGGAGGTGGAGCATCAGCAGCAGCAACAATAGCAACAACAAAAGCAGCAGCAGCAGCAGCAGCGACAATAGCAGTAACAGCAGCAACAGCAGCAGGAGCGACGGCAACAAATACGTGTATCGCTAGGCTCCCGGACGAAGAGTGCGACGTCGTCGGCGCGCTAACGGACGAGGTCTCCTCACCCGTCTTGTCCGTCCCCAGTACAAGGTTCTCGCGCCTCGGCCACTGTCCCCCTCCCCAAATAATCTCCCCCTCTCATCGGCGCCTCCTCGTCGAGGATGCGCCTCCGCTAACGTGGACGTTCGCGTCCCGAGCTGCGCGTACGTCCGCTCGCGCTGGCGTGTGCCGTCCGAACAGGAAGCGCGCGATATAACCTAAAAACTCGAGAGACATCTCGTAATAATCCGTCTTGCTCGCGTGTCTGGCCAGGAGGACTGACGACGACCGAACACCGAGGGCCAACGTGCCTATGGGGGAGGCGCAATCGCCATCGCGGACTCGGTGTGCTCGACAGTACCGCTCCTGAGAGGAGGCGGTCGAGGGACAGGGGCAAGGGCGAGGCGGACTCGCGCGTCCAGCCTTGGCGAAGACGGAGCACCAGGAAGCCGCGTAGCGAGAATGCCTTCGCGTTCTCCATATGGCCGTGAGGAAGGTGAGCGACCAGGGTAAACGACGCTGGGACAAGTCAAACTGTCACGCGGTGGAAACATGTACCTGTCGCGTTAGATACCGCGGCTGTGAGCTCGGAATCGTCGTCCGCTACAGCCGAGACGGGAGTGCGCGCGTGCAGGTGCTGCTGCTGCTGCTACACACACGCTTCGCTAATACTATTCTTGTCCCGTCGCTTAACGTTGCCACGTTCCTAATAAAATCAGGGCTTTTGTGAAAGTGTCTCCCTCGAGCTTCCCACCTATCAAGATTTTTATCAAGAATACGTTCCCCCGGAGCTTCTGGGCCATATTCGCCTAGATGTGCATGCGCGCCTTGCCTAGTTATACATAATAATTGATACGGATAGCCGTGTGCATAAATGGAAAGAGGGGCTATGCACTCGGCAATTTAAGGGCTGAGAGTGATTATACAGTGGTATAGGCAGGCATACAGTGAGTAATTAAGAGAGAAGTGGGGGAAGAGAGAGAGAGAGAGAGAGAGCAAGAGCAAGAGCAAGAGCAAGAGAGAAAATAGTTAAATAGAAAGGTTGCGGAAGAGAGAGCGAGTGCACGGGTGCTCTTCTGTGTGCGTGCGCGCGCGTTTGCCACTGTGTATCTTTCTCCGTGTTCCGTGTGCATGCGTGCGTGAGAGAGAAAGAGAGGAGTTTCTGAAAAAGCAGATCGCCGCCGTCGCCGCATCCCCGCTTTCCCGATGTTCGTTACGGATGACGGTACGTTTCTCTTGCTGGATCTTTCTTTTTTTTTGCTCTACTACTATTTTTGTTTTTGTTTTTTGTTTATTTTTTATTTTTTTGTGTAGAAAACGGAAAGTTGAAAGAAGGTTGCTTGTGAAAATCTACAAAATCAATTTATTATTTCGTTAGATCCAAATTGTTGTTTTCGTGTCCCAGAAAGTTATGGGTCTGATGTATATTGTACTACAGAAGAACAATTTCTTGACGAAATTTGAAATTCGAAATTTATATTCAATTATTTAATTATTTAATTATACTAAATTTAATTATATTATAATTAATATTTATTTTATAATTAAAATATATTTAATTATATACAATTAGCCTGTTTCCTATCCTGATATTCTATAGTGTAAGTTAGAGAAATGAAGTTAATATCTAAAACACAAAAATATGGGTCCATCAAATGTAGTCTTAACTTTAATATAAAATTATTTACATATAAAAAGTGAAGTAGTTATTGCGGTGAACCATCATTATAGAATAATACAAAAAAAAAAATGCATTTAAAAATTATAATATATATTTTTAAGAAATTGTAACTTTATGTTTAGAAGATAATTTTTCAAAAAGTAGAGAAACATCAAAACATGTGTTAATACATTTAACATAAAATGTAAACAATGTAATCTTTAGTAATTAATTTTTTTTTTAATGAATTGAAATCATATTCTACACATAATTTAATCTATGTCATTGTCTTTAATTATTAAGATATTATTGTTGATGTATAAAATCTATTGTATTTACAATAGGAAATTTGAACTAGAGTATTCCTATTTATTAAACATAAGTTTTATTAAAACATTTGGTTAAAATTTTACAAAAGATTGTTTTTATAACTTTGTATTATAATTTATGACGTGTGACCTTTGAAAACATTCTTATTTACAATGATATTAAAATTACAACGCAACTTTAATAGTTTATCAATGTGCCTGTAATTCATTAAATTGACCATATTGAGTATTAATAGTATTTTGTAGTGTTATTGAGTATTTATTTTTTATTTTTATGCATTTCATAAAAACTTTTATGCTTAAAAAAAGTTGTAGGTTACAATTATTGCATAATATAATCAACCACAATAGTTTTATCGAACACTTAATATTATCAGTAATGAAGTCTTATGATATTTTTATAAATATACTTGACAAAATACAAATTGTATTGTGTTTCAACAGATCCTATTTAAATAAACATTTATGTGCATTATAAAATTATTATAGATAATTTTTAAATCATAAAGATTATTTTATTTATTTTTTCATAGCTAGAAGTTTCTTGATAACGAAATATCATTTATGAATTAACATAATAGATTATTTTTAAGTGGGTTAAAAAAAAATTTTATTATAAAAGTTACTGTTCCGGAACAAATTCAGTCATCAATTTTTAAAGCATTAATATATTCAAAAATGTATGCTCTTAATCTAAATTATAAATTGCCATATTTAGTTCAATATCAATCTATCTCCCTCTATATTTATGGCTAACTTTGAAATTTTTAACTTATTATATTGAGATTTAATAACATTAAGTCGCTCGATTAAATTCACAAATTGTAATTTATTGACAGATAAAATTTATTGCGTATTTGCTTACTTAATTTTACCGTAATTATTCAGATAATGTTCTTTTATGCTTACTTTGGTTAGAATAAATTTTAAATTCAGTATTTTTATTTATTTATATTAAAATATATGAAAATCCTATACTTCCTACTTCTGCTCAAGAATATTGTTACTAATTCATCCTTAATGTGTTTGTTGTAGGAGCTTTAAACAAGGTAATAGTAAAGCAAGAACGTCCAGATGAAGCAGAAATCAGGGAATTGGCTGCCAAAATGGTGGAAGCACATAAGGCGAAAATGGGTACGGCAGCTGCACAAGCAGCAGCTGCTGCAACAACTTTACCACCAAGGCCATCCACCTGCAATCAAACTAATCTATCAGGATTGCTTGGCTATTTCAATAACAGACGTCCAGTGCCTGAGACAACTATGGCAAAACCTATATCTGAGGGCAAAATTGCATTGGATGATGAGAGTCAAAGAGGCCGATTCGGATGGACGAGCTTTGGCGACAATCACATACCATTCATATTTAGGGCCAGTGAAAAATATTGTGCGGTTAGGATATTAGAGTCTAAATTGTTAAATAAGTATCTGAGCTATCTACATTCGGATATCTATAGCTGCACGTGCATACGAAGTTACTACATCACTGATGCTGAAAGTAAACTTTTAAATGAAATCAATATGAAGCATTGTGAAAATCAATTTGGTCGTGATCCATTCACATGCAAAGATCTAGTTGTTCGTTTAGCCGATGCTAAAGAATTTTACACATTTTTGGATGTGTGTTACACAAAATTGACATCTGGATCAAGTCAAAATGTGATAGCTGGTCACAATAAACCAGATAAGTGTGGATTTATACGTATCAATAAGGAATCTGTTGTACCGTACACCATTAAAGGTGGTCTTAAATATGTTCCTCTCTTCTACTTTGAAGGTGAAACAGAGAATCTGAAATTAAAAGCAGAAAAGTTGGAGGGTTGGGACTTATCGTACTTAAAGTTCTGTTGCAAAGTACAGGGTATACGCAATGAACTGTTTGCCAGTGAGACGTGTTCAGTGATCAGTTTAAACGATATAAAGAGTTATTTTCCTCCAGGTACTGGTTTTGAGGACTATTGGCCAAGTAAAGTAATGGACTCTCAATTGTTAGTGAATTGTAAGGGCAGTGGAAGTGGTGGTGGTTGGACAAAGCAACCACCGACTCCACCCGTTACCAAACAAGCAGTGCAAAATAATGTTACGAAAAATTCCATAAATGCCAGAGGCGCCTCGCTCCAGGGTATGTTACCGCGAAACAATATACCTGGAGCCACTTTGCAAAGAGTTAATCAGAGACCTGTAGTTACTACTCATCCTGTACACTCATCTCCTACAGCGGTATCCTCAGTGAGGACTAATCAGGTGTCTCAGCCAATGTTGAATGCAGTTCAAGCTGCTACGGTTAATGGATGGTCTGGGCTTGTAGGGGGTCAACCAACTTTTCCTACGCCACTCGTGTCACAAGCAAATTCTATTATAAGAATGGCTCCTGGCAGTTTGAATATGCATAATGTAAGTTTTTAAAATTTTATTACAAACCAAGTGCCATTTAATTTAATTTGTTTTAAAATATGATCAAATTCTTATATAACCAAGTATTAACGAAATAATTGGATATAACCAAATAATTGAACTAAATCATTGAAAAAATTGAAATAAATTGTAGGCATATCAATTAGACTCTGCTGTAAAATAGCTCGTATAGTATTATCCAGTAATAAATTAATGGAATTGGTTAATTTCATAAATTCTAATAACATTTGTAGTAATGATTTTTTTCATTATTGTAGTGTGAAAATTCCAAAAATAATTAAATTTAAAACAACTGTTGAAGTATAACGTTGAAATATAATAAAATATTACTACACTTTGTATTACTATCAACGAAATTTTACGATATTTAAAGTATAATACATAAATTATAAATGTTTTATTTATACAGATAAAAATAGAATTTGCTTAACTTCGTCACTTTCCTTATTATTTGTACATATTTGGAAAGTAATGTTTAATTTAACCTCAAAAATTAAATAAATAAATATGTAAAAGTCATAAAATATTAAGATACTTTTAATTTTTATATGAAAATTACAATTATCCATTTACTACTATATTTATATTTTTAAACAATGCAAACAATGCAACCGATACTTTCATTTAATTCATCATTCATAAGTATTTCTTATCAGACATTAGCATATATATAATATTAATGAATGAAATTACATATCATTTATAGCAACTGCCATCGACAAATAAAAATTACACACAGCAACCATCCAGAAATAGAGGAAATACCGGGGCTTCGCAACAGTATCCAGTATATTCTAATACAGCTATGCAAACACCTGTACCATCTCCTCTTATTAGAGCAACTGCGCATTCCAGTCAACCTAATTTAGGGTAAACGAAAATTTACATTTTTATTATAAATAATTTTAATTCCAATATTTAGAATCATTAATTAGTATTTTATGCAACATATCTTATCAATTTTACTTGATTCATAGTTTAAATAAAATATAGTAAATAAAAGATAAGAATAGGGAACAGACATGAGTTTGTAAATAACTTGATTAGTGATTATAACTCGGTATAGTTAATGTAAATAAAGTAATTCTTGTTTTAAGTTCAATTTTAAGCATTATAAATTGTATATTGTAATCTTTCATTTTATTTTTTTATTTAATTTAATTTTTCTATTAATTAGATGTAATATGTGTACAATAATATTTTATGTAAATTTTTATTGAAAATATGTAATTCCATGTCTCACCCGAGTGGTTTGTCATTTATCTATGTAATTATTTATAATAAATCTACATTTTACTTAACTTATATACACATATATAAATTTTAACATTTAATTTTATCGAGATATCTTTATGTTTTTATGTATAAAAAAAAAATGGGCCCAACTAATATAAAAATATATAAAATATGTAATTCTAATTTCCATGACTTTTTGGTATAGAAGATTCTGAATTGTTATGTCTGTTTCCTATTTATTTTTACAACTCATTTTTTATTGCACCAATAGATTAAAATATTGTTGACACATATACACATGCGCGCGCGCACAAAGAGAGAGGGGAAATAGCTGCTCCGCTGTTTATTATTGTATCTTGTACATACAATATTGTATTTTGTTTTTTAATGTAGTTATCCAACCTATGGGAAGGATGACTGGTGAGTCCTCACACGATGTACAATAATCATACATATGAAGCAACAGAAAGCAAAGCATGCAATATGTTGTTAAAGAAATTTATTATGTAGTTAAGTCGTTGCATCTGTTTGTTATTCTAATTTTGCTGTTACATTGATTGTTTTCTTCTTTTTTTTTTTTAAGGAATGATCTATGCGTTATTTTATTCCTTTTTAAATATAATCATAGAAATTGTAAATGCTATTTTCTGTTTTTTATTCTTGATTTTATTATTAATAAGCTTACATATAGATACGACTATTCATCGATATGTTGCATGATATGTAAGATCATAGTTTACTTCGTTATGCCATGTTAAAGTCAGATTATTTTGTCTGTGTTTTTATATTATTTTGGAGACTCATCTACAGTCTTATCCATAGTATCGATCTTGATATTTATCCCCACATGTATAATTTTTGTATTAATGTATGCTTGAACACATTTGTCGATATAAGTATGTTTTATATATATATATATATATATATATATATATGTCTGTATGTGTATACAAAGCCATAATTGAAGGTGCAAGTGTCAGTTATTTAATAATTATGTAATAAATTTCGTTTTTCCTTTACAGGGTCTCCACAACTTATACAACTCCGAGTCTAGGCATACCAAACCCTGTTACAGCAACTACATATCCACAAATGCTTGGTTTGAGTGCAGAACAGGTTCAAGCTTTGATGCCACCCCCAACGTCGGCGGCGTCACTTATGACGCACCCCCAGAGACATACACCCCCTGTTTTGAATACGAGCCATGCGAGTCATCCATCACACACAAGTCACAATACAAGTCACAACTCATCTCATGCCAGTCTCACGAGTCATACAAGTCACACGAGTCATACAAGTCATACGAGTCATTCGAGTCATTCGAGTCATACGAGCCACTCGAGTCACCCGAGCCACTCGAGTCACTCGAGTCACTCAAGTCACTCGAAGTATCCGCCACCCCTTATACCAGTGAACGGCAGTAGCAATAATAATAGGTAAAGCTTAATAAATCTTAACTGACGACCATTACGATAAAATCTAACTTCTTGAGTCAATTAATTTCAATTTTTCTTAGCTAATTATTTAATCGATTATCTTTAAAAATTTTCCCTTGCTAAATGTTAATTTTATGTATGAAATGAATTAATATGAAAGAATAGTTTACCTTGATATTAATCAGAAGTAATAATAGTCATAATTAGCGATTTGATAGACTTAATTTATATGTATTAAATAATCGTAATACACAAATAATAATAACAATAATAGGCAAATAATAAAAGTTTAATCAAGATATATATTTTATTATCATTTGGAAAAAGGACATAATAATAATTAAGTATTGAAAACCTACAAGCTATTATAGATTAAGAATTTTTATGAACTAAATATTTCTAAAGAATTGGCTTATTTTTTAGGGATTCTAGGTGTAGAAAACCTCTGATACCTATTGCGGAAACTCATCCTTCTCTCAACTGTCAAGTTCAACCTTACCAATTACAAAAAGGTTTGGTTGGAAATAAGTTCGTACCTTGCATCAACTTTAAGCCGTACATTTACTCAGAGCTTTTGATGACATTGCCCGATTTCGTATCCGAGTTATTTCCTTCTTGTGATATTGAAAGCTGCAGGCAAGTCTTGACTGATGTTCTGATGCTGGAACTTTATCAAGGCAACAGGTATATTTCACCTGCTATGCTTATTAAATTAAATATAATTCAAAATAGAAAAAATACAATATGTATATAATCGACAAAAAGAATTATAAAATCTTATGTATCATTTAAACATCTGTTAATTTTTAACAATAATAATATATATATATATATATATATATATATATATATATATATAATATGGGTTTTAATGCTATTGCATATTAATTTGGCATCGCTAATATCACATGTTAAAATTGGTAAGAAATTTTCCATGAATAGTTTATTTTTTTAGAATTAATAAAATTATTTTACATATATTCTGTATTTAGTAAATTAGGCATAACGTCCAATATAGAGAAAATAAATATTTTATGCGCGACTGAAATAACCAAATTGAAGATACAATTGAATATATTTTGATTTTATTTTGATTTGATTATAAAATAATTGAATGTATACAATTGAAGATACAAAGAATATGGAGAAATTCTGTATGAATTAGTTTAAAAAGTGTTGAAAAATCTAATGGTAATATTTTAAATGGTGGCTCATTAATTTAAAATTTCAGTTAAATTTTATTTCCCTTTGTAGTAATTAATTCTTCAGAATAACATTCAAACGCAATTTTAAAAGAATTTTTTTCTATTAATTATCGAAATATGAAGATTTTTTTTTAATTTAATAGTTTGATTTAAAAATGTGTAGAAAAAGAGATACAACGAGTATTTTAAATTTCATTTTAATTTACATTAGAAAATTTCATTAAACCATAAATTTTAAAATCTTACATTCGGTTCATAACAAATATGCAGAATTTAGTAATTTAATTTATGAAGGGAAAATAATAAATTATACATTGTATTTTATAAAAAAACAATTTTTCATAAAGTCTTGTCTCACTGTTCCTCTAATCTTTATTTTTCCATAGGTTGCAAATGGAAATGTTGATGAAGAATGGCAAGTGCTTATCGCTTACAGAGGAGCTGCCTCTCATCCAGGTTCGCAGTATCATAAAATACATGCCGCAATTAAAGTATATGTTAAACAATCGTAACATGGGTATGCCTACAACACCCCAACCTGCTCATTCGTCCGAGGAGCACTCAGCAAAAAAGCGGCAGCGCACCAGCTAGGATTGGCTACAGCCTTACTGGCCGACTTATGACTATTATCACTCCGCCTTCTAAAGCATTCGAGGGCTCGAGACGCGTTAGGAAAAAGAAGATATAAAAGTGAAAGAGGGATGTAAAGAGAGAGAGAGAGAGAGAGTGAGAGAGAGAGAGAAAGAAAGAAAGAGAGTAAGGAGAAGAGTGCAGGAGAGACAGACTCCATGAAAGTGTTACACCTCTTCTTTAACCTTTTCCTTAACCTTCTACATAGTATTGAAGGATGTAAAGGGAAAAAGTGCTGGTGCAACGAACATGATTTGTTTTATCTTTTTTTTTCTTTTTAAATGTAAAAAAACAATGTGGTGATGTATTACTCATTTTCGAGTTGTGTTTCTGGAGAAGAAAAGTATCATCTCGAGATGGTAGTACATGCGTAAAAGGAAAGAAAATGTTTAAGAAATGATATTGTGCAGTTTTTTTTCTCTTACATAAAAAAAAAAAAACCCACTATTACAAGAGTGTAAATAAATATTGAGAGAAAAGAGAAAAACAGAGGTTAAGCAACTGATCATCTAAATCTCATCAGTTCAGTTCAGAACATATTTAAAAATTTATAATGAGTGAGTATTCTGTAGAATTTGTTAATTGTTAACATTCTTTCTTATTTAGTACAATAATATATTAATACGCATAAACTCATCAAAGACAAATTTGCATTTATATCCATAACAATTGAACTTTATTATAGAGTTAATTGTGTAAATATATCACATTAATAATATGCCTTTATATATATTTATAAAAAGAAACAAGGAAATTTATCAACAATTAGTGTTGTCATATACTATAGTAACATTAATAATCACTGAGCTGAACAGATTCTGATTTAAAATGTCAAAAGCCAAAGCCTCATCAAGTTCCTAGTTATTACATATGTAATCTGATTAAAATGTCACAGACGTATGCTACTGTCTATGTAGACACGTAGTGCATTATTTATACGCGTAGAGTAATATCACGGTTTCTCCAAAAAGTGAAAATCTTATAAGAATTGTAAAATAGAAACAATGTTTAAATAGATGAAACATCAGCTTTTGTTAAAGAAGTCGATGATCATAGTTATAACTATTCAGTTTATAGAAATCCTTAACTTACCTTGAAATATCGAAATAAAAGGAAATCAGTTTCTTCAAATTACTTATTTATTTTTAATTTAATTATTTGATTATTATATTAAAATGTGATTTTGAATTGCTTATACATATTATCACCTAGTGATTAAAATCATAGATTAAAACTAAATAATTATTTGCAATTCTAAAGCTTCGATCTAAATCAATTTATAAATGTGCATATAAAATGTGTAAAATAGTGGTTGAAAGTTAGTCTTCCACAATAAGTAGACAGTATTTATGAGTACATGTGAATACTATCATTTAATAATACTTATAATGAAGATCACTTGACTGAAGAAACCGTTGTGAAAAAGTTTTCCATGCTGCACAACCGTAGATAATATCGGATAAAAGAAATTGCCTGGTTCAGAGTCTATCTATGAATGATTTATCACCGGATGAAAAATGGACTTTTGCAAATGAAAATAAATGAGAAATAAGGAAATCATATAATAACTAATGTCGACTGACAGTTTCTGAAGTTCGCTAAGGAAATTGTAAAAAGCTCTAAATATGTATATTTCGAGATAAAAAGTAAGTGTATATATATATAAAGTAAAAGACTGGTATTATAATTCATACGCTCTTTGCGATTATGAATTATATATCTGTCAGTAATAAAGACAAAAAACAGAGGAAACTTGCTTAGTAAAAAAATTTTAAAAATAAAATTAAAAAAATAAAATAAATATCCTGTTACGGTGAAAATGGTATATTTTATTATTTATAAATTGTATTTAGTCAGAATGTGACTCGAAAGATTCTATTTGCCATTAAAAAGACAACAATAAAAATAAAACGGACTGGCTTCGTTGGACGATTTTCCGCGATGTCAATCAAAATTTGTCTTTACTGTATTACGTCATCCCATGGTTGAAGTTGTGTATTGATAAATCAACAGAATGTATGCACAGGCAGGGTACTAAAGGAAATCTCTTTACCACTTTGTTGCTTCCGATGTTTATGTGGATTTAAAATAGTAGACGACAAAAATTCACATTTAACAATTATAAATCGAGAAATACGTTTTCTTACCTGTAAGTTTATTTATTGCAAAAATATTATTTTAAATAATAACATTCATTTCAATAAATTTGAAAATGCAAATTTGATGGAAACGTTGTTCTGCATTGATACAATGAGTAATTATTTTCTTTTCATTTATTTGTTACAGGGAATATAATGTATAATTTTTTTTTACTAAATTTGGGTATGCTATGTTCAAATTTATCATAAAGCTAACTTTTTGCATAAAATTTTTCGAAATAGTAATTTAAAAATAAAATGAATATTTTTTCATTTTGGTAAATTATAAAAGGAAATGTCTGAAATAAGAATTGGATTAATATCATAAAGTAAAATAAAAAAGTTTTTTTTTTAATTTTTGTTAGATTTATTCATACAATCACGATTCTTTATCGACCGTCATTCATTTAAATTTAACATTTACAATATACAATATACAATAAATAACCTTTTATAATTATATTTGATGCTAGCATTACCTAAATTTAATAAATATAATATGCTATATTTCCCGAATAAATTAATATAGCGAGTAATATGATAGTTTCAATCGTATAAATGGATGAATAAAGAAAACAAAACAAAAACAAACAAACAAAAAAAAAATACAAAAAAAAAAATTGGTAAGAAAAAAAATAAAAAAAACAAGACTGTTGGTAGACATGAATTATCTAAATCCTACTGATCTGTAGGAATTTCAACACACTATTATTTAAACGCTCAATTATAATCTATCTTTCTCTGTCACTCTTATCCACCGTTATAATGGCATTTCGGTTATCGGGCTCTATTTTAGCTTAATATTGTCATAGTTGTAATTGAAAGAAGAAACGCAAGTAAATAGGAAGGACGAAGGTGGTGCGATAATAACGTAGAAACTATTAAAGGTATTTTGTATATCAGTGAATCTCGAGAGAAAAGAACTGCGAGGCCCTCAAGTCCAAAATTTAGAATTTACTGTAATTATTAAGACGTTAGTTTAGAGCATTTATTTGTTAAACGGAACTTGTTAAAATAATACGTGTATTATAATTTATCACTTCGTCGTCTGTAAATATAATTAATAAGAAGTAAACTAGAAATAATAGATATTTCAAATAAAATCGTGATAAATAATCTTCATTTTTACTGTATCTTTATTACTAGTAGAAACACTCCTATAGTTAATTAGTACTTTGGATAAAGATATTTTTGACTGTGATTGATGAAAGAAAAATATATAATCAAAATATTGATTAAAGTAAGAATACTTCAAAAAAATTTCGATTTAAGTATTGAAAAAGAAATAATAAACTTTATTATCTTAGTGATTTATTTAATTAGAAGCCTTATCAACGTTTGTAAGGGTTACGATATTAAATTTATTTATGCTTCTCATTTGATTTTATACAATTTATTGGAATAAGAAATAGCAATAGAATAAAATTTCCTGATTAACAAAAATATTTATTTGACAGTGCTCAAATAACGTTGGTTTTATTGTATTCACAGACAAATTGGAATAACCTCTGTGGATTTGTTTATTGACTTATTATTATTATTATTATTATTTTTTTTTTTTTTAATGCATGTATGTTTAAATAATTATAAATAATCACGCGATTCACGTTAATTTGATAAATAGACATCGATCTCAAAAAGAAGAATCTTATGAACTTTTAAATTTCATTGATATATCTGAATTGATATTGTTTCATTAAAATTATTTAGATAATAACTTTATAACAACAAGTACGAAAGTGTACGATTATTAGATAAATGTATTTTTTTAACAACTAACTTTGGGAAAGATGGCGCTTATATTTATGCACATGCCACATAAATTCATTGTATTTTATTGTGAATTTAATAAAATTACTTATTATACATATTGTATTGCTCACATCTTGTATAACAGATTATTTAACTAAATTGACGGTAAAAATGTTTAAAAATGAATAATACGTCATATGATCAAGATAATTATTGCTTACAAAATAATCAGTTATTTAAGTAATCGAAGTATTTTATGAATTTTTTACAAAGTAACAAATTCGTTTATTTAATTTTTTAAAACAAACACTTGTAACAAAAATGTTTATTTTTAATATATAGATCGACACTTTTGCGACGAAGTAATTGTTTTATCGAATAATTTTTTATATTCTTATTAAATTATAAAGTAGAATAAGAGAGAGAGAGAGAGAGAGAGAGAGAGAGAGAGAGGATTGATATTTAAATACACATTAGATAAAAATTGAATTTCAAATTGTTAATTCAAACTTTTTTAACTATTATTGTTTGATATATAATGCTGATTATATATTAAATTTTGATATTCAAATATTGTAAAAAATTGAAAATTGGATATAACGATGAAGAATAGAAGAATAGTTTATAAATTTTATTACTATTCGTTAGATTTTAATATTTGATAACTGTTATGGTTATGATTTTCTTGTTTGTTTATATTTTACTTTTGATATATTTAAAGAAAAGTTTCATTTATATACTTTAAACAAATAACTTTCGGACCTTCCAACAATTATATGAAATAAATAATAATAAATATGAATTTTGTTTGTTTAAGTAAAATACTACAAAAATGTATTTTAATTTTTATTACATTTAAAGTATTTATTAATGTACAATGCTGGCTTTTATTGTTAATTTTTTTGTATTTGTACGTGATTTATAAATATCAATAAACTTAAATTTAAATTACGAATACTTGATCGTAGTATTCATAATAAATTTTAAATTATGTTCGTTATAATTTTATTTCTTTTGAAAGCATTATTTGATATTTTTATTCGATTACTTGTAATTGACTTTCGATCAATCTTAAAAAGTTACGTGAAATATTATTAAGGGATCTCACTTGAGCATCGTTGAAAGTTGAAAAGTTGCGATGAGAATTTTTTAAATTTGTTTAAATATTCAATTTTATAATACTAATAATAATAATAATAATAATAATAATAATAATAATAATAATAATAATGGGAGTTTTTAAGAATGATTATCAATAATGGTGTAGCATGGTAAAATAAAGGAAAGGAAATACATGCGCTTTCTTTTGTACATAGTAGAAAAATACTTTCTTTTTTTTTTTTTTTTAAACTAAAGAAACGCAGATTTATATATAATGGCAATTAAACTATTAATAATTCGAAAACACATCCCACTATTATAAAAAATTAAATATCTTCAAGTTGGCGATTAAAGATTGATAATTAACTAATTTTGATATTGTCAAAGTTGTATAGTTTCTCAAAGATAAGGAAATTTCAATAAATTAACAGAAATAAAATGAAAAAATTGTAAGTTAGTGAGAGTGTGAATCTAGTTAATCGCGAGTTAGATAAGATTAATGCAAAAGATCGCGGCTGATTTTTTTCAGTATTCCTCGACAATAAGCACGATAATACGCATAAGCCGACCGCGGCATATTTCGTTATATTTTCCCTAAATCTTGTAACTTGATGAAAGGATGAATTTTTCAAGAAAATAATACGTTCTTTTAAACTCCTGTCTAATAATCTTGAATTTTAAAACATTTAGAAATTTTATAATAAAACTCGGATAAAGCGTGAATTTTACGTAAAATAAATATAAATGTGTGCTTTTAAATTGTATGTGTAGAAAAATTAGCAAAGTATTTTCATAAAAAATCATATTAAAGGTTTGTAATGGCTCCGAGGGGAAAATGTTCGCCTACCCATCGTATCGCAGGCTATATCATGAACGCTAAAGGGCTCCGAGTCATTCAAGTAGCTGACACCTTAAATAATGAAATAATTATTCGATCGTTGTATTTGAATTTCGAAGAATACTTCTCCTTCGATCTATTTATCGCCTTCTAAGTTTGATGCAAAACATAAATCCAAACAAAACGAACGAAAAAATACGTATAGTCAGAGCCGAAGCGACACGTAAAGTGCTGCTTATGTGAAAAACGATAATCAAACGGACCGTACAGGTGTATGTGCGCGACGCGTGCCTATCAGCATTGAAAGAACCGGGGGGGGGAGAAAGGTAACAAGGTAACTAACTGCACGCATCGTAGCTTTAAACGTGTAACAAAATTGCATTTTGTGCCCGCGATATGCAGGTGTCGTAATTTAAACGTACCGAATTGAATACGAGTGGGATGAGGAGGGTAAGGAAGGTTGACAATACAATAGCTACATTCATACACTCATCTATGTTTAGAAAAAGAAAAAAATCAATCACCCGTTGTTCGTTACACAACCCGTTCGTTACACCAGATTATAGAGATACGCGTGGCGTTAGCGTAAGCGAGCAATTTAATTATATTGCATATATTAAGGGAAGGGGCACACACGATGGACATCAATGTGTCGTCGCACACCGAAGCTTATATGCGTTGATATTGTTTTTATTTTGAAAGAGACGTTTTCTTTTCGTTTCGTTTGTTTTCACTTTTTGTTTATCTTCAAGTACCGTCTTATCTATCGTTAATGCACGGTCTTT